GACACAACGTTAAGTGAGCTCAGAATAATTCAAGAATTTTCAAAATGTTAAGACAAAATTCATACAAATTATGACTAATAGTTTTCAGAATCTGGAGACTTTGTAATGAGATAAATGATCCCACACGAAGTAATGCTTTTGTATTTAAATTGTAGGGGTGTTTGAATTTTGTCAATTGTACATTTTTGTATATGGCAATATAGAAGGCAGATGTACTTTGGCCAGTCAAGCCTAATGCCCTAAGTACCAGTCTCTCCTGGCTGCCTCCTGTCTCTCCAGGTCGCCACTGTTCTCATCACAGTCGTCAACCAGACTTTCCTTGTAGTCACTGGGTTTCCAGAACATGATTACCTTGTAAACATCGTAAGATTGCTGATCCAGTTCCATCATCAGATGGAGTCCTCCTTCCTTGGCTGTTTCAAAGATAACACAGACTGAGATAAATAAACGCCATGCGTCGGATCAGAGGCAATGTTATTGCTGAACAGTAGGAAGATGACAATTGGAAATGTGATATCATCACGTTTGTTATAGATTCTAGTTTGCACAAATATTGTCCCTTTTTTTCTTATAATATAAGTTGATAACTATAATGTAGTTAAGTACTCTGCACAACAATTATTGTTTGATACCGATGTGCTCAAGAGAAATATGCAGACAACTTACCGTAATGCGTGTGTTTATGTTGATATGTTTGTTTGTATGAAACGGCCTAAATCTGACGTAGGTTTCCTACCCTATATCATACAAAGTTCAAGCAACATTTTCCCTTCTAACAGTTGTTTTAACAACATCGAAATAATCTGGTTTGATAAATACAATTATGTTTTTTTTTTCATTAGGGACAACTCTTAAAAACACAATGATAAATCATGCCTTAAACCATCTGCAAAGCAGATAGCGCTTCGTCATCGCTATGCTTAAACTCATACACTTATAATTTTTTATTTTAAAAAATATTAAGGTTCCAAGCATATATTAACTTGTTTTCATCTTATATATAGTTGATGTGTTTCCCTTGGTTTTAGTTTGTAACCAGGATTTGTTTTCTCTCAATCGATTTATGACTTTTGAACACCGGTATACTACTGTTGCCTTTATTTAGCTGCTATGTTATGTTTTTTATTCATTTAAACGATTTTAGTTTTTCATTTTCCAATCTTTAAGCTTCAAGCGTACAATTATAGACATGATGAGAGGAAAATCAGAAACACAGGTCGTGCTCACTTAATATGGTATTATCAACCGTTCCCATTTAATCGCGATCAGTTGACTTAAATGTTAACGCATGTTCATTAACTTTGGATATCATTGAAATATAACGGACATTCAAAAGCATAATCTGTATTACTAATCCATGTATGCAAGATAACGTTGACACAAGTAATGTGTGAATAATACTAATCTCAGAGCTATAACTTTTATATTTTGCGAAAATGTAGTATATTGTTTATTTTTATTTTTAAAAACAAGTAACCTTCTTATTGGTGTACAATCGTAGCTATAATGAATTATGACTATCTTCCAATATGACCATGTCGTACGTTTAATCTTAAAGTGTTTGTTAATGTCATCAGTTAAACGTTATGTTCTTGCTATTTATTCAAATTATGAACTCATTCTGTATCATATGAATAGCACCATGTGTTCCAAAAAATTGATCTGCAGACTATATGTTGTTAAATGACCAAAATGCTTCTCCAAATAGTTATTTATACAGTGAAAGGACTACGACGACCCTGATCTGATGCTCCTGTGAGTATGTTGAATGTTATATCAGATTTAATTACAACTTAATTTAAGTATTCTTGATTTTGATTGGCTGATACATTGTATATTCATACTCGTAGCATTCATAAGTTATGTCTCTTCGAGATGAAATATAGAGCTCATATCTTGGAACCACTAGGAAAACAAAACAAAATATCTATGAATATTATATATTTCTCCAAAATATCGTGGTGTATGAAACAGCTGTATTTACAAAACGCAACCAAAACTAACATTTATTTCAAGAGAAAAACACTCTGTCGCACACCATTATTTATTTATCAGAATCATAGCTTAAAACAAATAACAACATATACTCTAACTTTTCTTTTACAGTAAATTTTATTCCACCACCCCTGTTTCAATTTTTTATGAATTTGAAAACAAGACTTTAATAATTGTCAGCTTATTCAATGTGCATGTTTTCTGACATCAATTGCCTAGAACATGTATGAAACTATTCTGATAACAAATTGAAAACATTTCAGAATACTATAAATGTAAAGTTTAGTAGGTAATCAATACAACATTCAAGATTATATGAAGTATCCATTCCTGCCTCTATCTCCAGTCTACATCTTACTGTATGCCTATATAAAAGTTCACAATTTCTGCCTCAAATGGTCAGTTTATAAATCTAGTCACAATGATATTATCTCTTACTATACACCTACCATAATTTAGCTAATATATGACTAGAAATGTATAAACAAAGCCATGTTTGCATAAATTGTATGTATGAATGAACAAGTCTCATATATATAAATTCACTAAACGTTTTATAGAACTGAGTGATGGAATCTGTTTTTAGCATAAATTCAAAGCACAGGTATTGTTTTCTATACACAAGACCTTTTTGATAATACAGTCATAGCCTTAACAGGCTAAATTATCTGTTTCATGACCCAGTGGCTAGGTATTTTTCACTGTTTTTTTGCCCTTGGGGCCTCAAATTTGCAAACAAAAAATCTGCTGTTATTTAGTACATTCTTTAGGATAGAACACACTATTGTTAGTATTATTGAGGTATTTATGAATCTTATACTAGTATTTTTTATGCCGCGGTCACAAAAAAGCACCATCAGGTGTTACGCTTACTTTTGGATTTTCGACAGGACAAAAACACCAAACAACAATACTCATCACTGATCTATGAATATCAAACACTCGGAAGAGTAAGTATAAGCACTGCTTAACGATTGAAATTACAGATGTGCAATATTTAAGAATTTACTTTGCATAAAGGGCTTTAGGTAAACTATGCATATTATAAACTGTGAATTTATGCTGAGTCATCATAGTTAAGGCATATGATTTTCCCAATCTTCATGAAATATCTGTAAAACTTTACATATGAGTTATTTTCAATAAGACGATGTATAAACCTCTATTTGGTTGTTTTTAAGTACATTATTTACATCGTACACTATTATCAATCAGTCATATTACACACAATCCCATTTCAACGTTTCAGAAACTAACCATTTTAAGATTTAAAAATAAAAATGAAAGCTTGAAATCTGTTATTGGAGATCATTTCATAAAAATCCGATGTCTTCATTTAATGTTAACATTGGTTTGCAAACAATGATATAATCAAATATCGTTCTGAAACGTTAACAGTCATGTGCAATCTTTTACTTTTATTTTTATTTTCCTTGTATTATACTATAATATGGTCATATAAAGTTCACTGCTTTAACATTGTGTATTTCTACTTCCGTAAATATAGCTTTATATTCCAAAACCTTTCGGAAATATATGGTCCGTAATGTTTTTCAATTCTTGTATTTGATTGAACCCTTAACTTGCCTGATTTGAGTGTCAATGGAGAGTCTTTTGAAGACCGTACGCGCGTATGTCGTACAAAATTATAAACCTGGCATATTGATGATTTGTTGTCATATAAATGTAGAGTTCTTTGGTAGGTTTGATTTGGAAGAAAATTTGGATGTTTGCTTTTTTCAGTGTTCAATTTAAGATATATCAAGCCACAAGGATTTAAATTGATTTCTGTTTATACTGGAACACAGTCCATTACTTTGCTTTTCAGATTTTTTTTATGTTTCTGTTTTCTTTAAACGCTTTTCTCGATTGATAATAATACTTTTTTTATTTTCCCTTATTGCCGAGTTATATTAATTATTGTATAGATTTCTTAATTTAGATTTACAATGATATTTCTTTTATGTTTTGGCCTATTATCGTTTTCCCACACGAAGAGATGCAACACTGTAAATAGATCTTTGAATATTGGTTTTATTGGTATTGATAATAGTTTTGTTATCAGTAAATTAAAATCAAAAAATATATATTTTTTAAATGCATATGTACATAACGAAATGATAAATTGTTGTTTTTTTCCGACAACGTTCAATCGGTGAACACGCATCAAAATCCTTAATCAAGATAATAGTTTTTAATTTAAAGAAATGCGGAAGTTACAAGTAATCTTTCGTCTATATGCTTAAAACTGCTAAAATAGCTGACCTTGATTTGAAGCCGGTTTTGTTTCATGTTTTGTTTGTACAGTTTTTAACTTGCTGCGGATATCTACTTTTGATTGTCAGGTGATCCGTCAAACGGATTACATCAGGTACAACATAATATATATTTAATTATTGAAGATTGAGGAAGATTGATCAATATTATTCAGGATTATATAGAGTCAAAACTGCTAAAAAGGAAAACTTTAATTTTTACTTTATGTTGCTTTTTCACGTCTTTGTCTCGAGAGACACTGATGAGTCTTTTGCAGACAACATGCTCGTCTTGCGTTTTAACTTTTAATCCTGGTATCTCTGATGAGTTTATTATTAGACATAAATCTGTCTTTACAGGTAACAGTCGAATTATCTAGCCTTTTTTATACCCTTTCATTTTTATTCGCATTTGAAAGGTAACCTCTGTTAGAAGGTCTATTTTCTATGGTCCTGAGACTAACCTTTATGTTTTGGAATGAATGGATAAGAAAAGGTAGCGGACAGACCAGTACCAAACTAACTGTTTAGTATGAAGTAAGTGCATTTTAAGAGAAAGTTTTTTATCAATATTAAACATTCATTTAACTATCGTATTCACAACGCAAATTTTAGACATTTTCACTCATGTTTTTTATGTCAACTTACAACTTTCAATTAAAAAAATGTCATTGACTTGTATAAACGTGCAATCAGGTCAAGTGTTTCCATAGCAAAAACATAATTTGTGTAACAATTTCTAGTTGCAAATCAATATCCGTTAAGTTTATTTTCAGAATGAGCATCTACATAAAGAGTGTTTGTTATTATCATAGCATGCATTCAACGATTAAAAGAAAAAAAAAGAAGAAAAGTTCGAGGAGTTTTTAAAGTTACTAAATAGATTGCAACTGGCTGAAATCTACATTGTAAACCTATTTTATTTTACAACAAATATCAGGCTGAGTAAAAAACAAGATTCAGAAAAGATAGTATAAATACAAGAGACCTAAAAACGATAACACATACTTCAATTAAAAAAAGCTTATTCAAATTATACGTAAAATGTATAATTTGTCTAGAGTTTTAGTTCCATAAAGTGACAGTTAAATGAGTTATGTAGAAAGAAACTATGCATATTGATTACTACCTTTCAGACAATAACACAGTGAGTGTATTTTGTGTTGTTTGTGTTTTCTGATCACTGAGGAAAGCATCTTGTTTGTCAACTCTGTGTGCAGTGTGAATAACAAATTAACCCATGCAAAAGCCTATTTTTGATGAAAATATGAAAGATCTTAATTGTGACTTCACTTTAACATGTTTAATAGAGACACTGTCTAACTGTTTCGTCTAGGCTAATCTGTTACTAGTATCTTCATAAATTCCTTGTTTAAAAAAAAACATTGGTTTCCGTCTTTTTTTCATTTCTCAGTAAATTAAAAAGGCAAAATACAGATGGGTCTATTCCAAACTAGTATTAATCAACAACACAGAGTAGCATGTGATATTACCCTAAAACACAAGGCAACATGTCATATGCATAAAGAGCAATTGGTTATGTTTAACATAAACTTAAAACACAAGTTAACATGTAACATAATCTTTGAACATGCATACGTGATCATAGATCAAATAAACAGAATACAGTATCACATGTCCAATAACAATAAAACACATGAGCACATGTCATATATAAATATATATATAACAGTATATAACATTCTCTGTGTACCATCATGCTGATAACATCCACTTTTCGCATAGGCTTTTGTTTAGACAGAGGTGTGCACACCTGAAAAAAAAACACAACAAAGTGGTACAAAGCGGTTGAAAGAGTGAACTATCAGAATAATCTTTTAATGTTATAAAGTACCAAAAGAAGGCCCTTGCACAGGAAATAGTTATTCTTTGTGCTTGAATATCCTTCGATAAAAGAAAGACGGATGAAAAAGCCAATATTCTAGTCATTCAAAATGTCGTATTTTTACGTTTCCTACATAATTTCTTTACTGTAATGGAAAATGATATGACTATTATCGTCTGTTTATTGATGCAGTAATATCGTTTCTGATAATCACACATTGTTTAACATTTAACTTGAGCGACAGCGTAACAAAACACTAATGGCTCACGTAAAAGAAGAATGAAAAAGGGTTAACGATATCTCTTTTTATTTTAAAGTCTTGTTTATACAAACGAGATATAATGTAAGATATCCACATAAGAACAATACATACCTAAATGTTTTACAGCCTGAAATACAAGAAAGGATTTTTAAGAGCATTCACGAAATGTATTCGTTTTAAAACAGCTGCCACAAATTATTATGCATTTGACATCATACCCGGTTTTGGTAGAGTTCGTGTTGCTCAGTTTTATGTTTTCTGTGTTGTGTTTTGTATACTGTTATTAATCTTATCGTCATTTTTGCCTTACTACTGTCAGTTCGTTTTCGAGTGACAATGAATATTCATTAGGTATATATTGTCATTGTGTAACCTTGTTTCTAAAACTTAATTGAATAAAACGTCCCTAATACTATTTCTCAAAGGGATTTTTCAAACGGTAAAACGAATGTTGCATGTTAAAATAAGTATTTATTTATATACAAACCATAACATACATATAAGTATACAATTCCTTCCTATAATTTTTTCAACATTTTCTTAGGTTAAAAAAAACATACTTATTCACCATTACCTTTGTTTTCCGACTAATTGCTAACGAGCATGTTGCGCACAGAAATAGGTTTGCATACATTAAAACAGCTATTCATTATTTCATGATACAGTATTTTTTTATCGTAGATTTAAACATGTTTTAGAATAAAATCGTTACGGTAAAATGCATCAAGGAAATACTACTGGAATGTTTTGAAATGAGTGTGTTTAAAGATTATATCTAAATACATGCACTTTATGACCAGATAAATATAAGTCCAAAATCATTTTTACCTTGACATATTCCGATGGGAATAATCCTTTCTCTCCATTTATCTCTCCAATGAGCCATCCACTTGACTTTTCTCCAACCACGATAAACTTGTCTTCCTTTTGGAAACTTATCTGTGAGAAGTTTTTTGCTTTATATGATTTTGTTGCTATGACACAATATTTTGACTGCCTTGTACTGTCTGTTAAAAAAACAACATTATAGTTTATCACCATTATACATTGTATAAGCTCTTTGCAGCCACATCTGACATATCATGTAATGCATTTAAGCAAAAAATATATAATATTTTACATAAAATAACACAAATGGTCATGGGGTCGATATGAGTCATATAAAGAAGGCACCAAAAGACCTTCAACAACATGGAGGTTGGACAAACCTTTTCCAGTGTTTAGTTCCGTCTTTGTAATTTTCTTAAAATATAATAAATAAGCATTTGATTTCTAACAAATTTGTATATCTGATAACCAGAAAGTGTGATAACAAATAAAACAGGTTGGTATGCGCAAGCACGCCATAGCTTTTCAATAAATTAAAATACTCTCTGCACTATTTTGTATGAACAATAATCACCATTTTCTGTTGCCTAGCGAATAATGATGTAATACCTGTAATGAATTCTTCTAATATTTACAACAGAAAATAAATTATTTACGTTGCTATCGGCTAATTACATTTGGTTTCCTATTAACTAATTCATACAAATATTTACCCTTGCTCTCCCGTCTTTTGGTCTTGCTTAATGTTTTGGATGAAACTATCTGGCATTTCTACAAAGATTATCAAGTCTAAATTATTATTAAACTCGATTGTATTTGTATGTTGTGTATGCTCATCCGTTACACGATAGACATAAGTTAAAGTATATACGATGACACTCAAAAGTAATTGTATGACATTAGAGAAATGATAATTAATAAGAAATAGAATAAAATGTGTTTCAAAGACATAATTTTAGACTGTTTGTTGATTAAAAAAAAACTTATATGAACTTATATTGCTTATGGTATTAATAATCTGATTTGTTCAGAACTAAATATAGCAATGTTGCGGGATCTATGTCCCTAGCTACCTGAGCAAAATTTTAATACAAGAATATTTGTCGGATGATGCTGTTTTAATTTGTATTTCTATACATGAAATCTTTAAACAGTTTTTTCTAGATATATCAATAACTTATTTGTATTATCTTTTTTATTGGTACCAAAATACATCATGTACGAAACACATACATACATTTATATATTAACTATTTTTTTATTTATTTGACCTGATTCTATTCATAATCTTTATCATTACTTTATATAACTGAGTTCAAAATAGTCGTAAGTCGTGTGCGTCTGAGCAAAATGAGTAAGAATGAGTGAATGGTATGATGAATATGAAGTTTACATCTTTATATCGTGTCCTGTAGATATTGTCTTGTCTTCTAATAAACATGTTTGTAACAATATTTTTCAATTGTGAAACTGTATATATTCTTGTTGAGGAGACCACACGTAACTTTTAGTTGGTGGCAATCCTCTTTAAATAAATCAAGAATTATATTTAAAAGGCCCCAGATGCAAGCACTATATGAGATGCATACCTATCGACTCATCCAGTCTTGCTCCATGAGAACTTCGTGCAATTCCCTCATTTTTTTTTACCTTGATTTTTTTCATCTTATTAATGGATTTATTTGATTTAAACACGAAAGATCCCATACCACATGTTTTCGCGATCTTAAATCTCTAGATTCCGGAACAGTTTTCTCAAATGTACCATCGTCCTCTTCCGTTTTGTGTTTGCTGATTCAGCAGTCCTATTGAAACAATATATATATATATATATATATATATATATATATATATATATATATATCAGTTTGTTTTACCTTGACAAATTCAGCTGGGAAAAGTCCTTTATTGCCATTTACTTCTCCAACAAGCCAGCGTTCAGATTCCTGACCAACGACGTTGAATTTATCTTCTTTCCGGAAACTTATTTCGTCGTACGATTGCCCTTTGTATGATCGCAAAGCGATAACACTGAATGTTAAATTCTGTGTAACAGTTTCATTATCTGAAATAATTATATTCATTATATGCGGAAATAACTTCACTCCGTTAGAGTACCTTCATCAATGATCAAATTTAGAGCTGCGTATTTTAGAAGTATTGCGTCTATGTTAATGTTGATATTTATGTGGCATTTTTTACTGGACGCAATCTAGTCCTCATTCCTTTGGTTGTGAGATCAACCACCGAGACTTATCACCAAATTTGTACTTACCATAAACAACAAGTAGGATGCTACGTGTTGAATCTAGTCAGCTCACCTGGTCGGATAACCTCATATCGCATGCAATTGATCAGGGTAGTGTTGCAAAAGTAGTTGATAATCTATGTACAGGATGTATTGTTTTTTCCATAGTATATTCGGTTATTCCTTCGACTTTTGATTTTTGATTGATACACTTTTGGATAGGAATTCAGGTATACTTGCATTTTTAACATCAAGTTGCTGAATTATGAATTATGATAATGGTATGCCAGAAGCGCAATTCCTGGTTTAGAATTTGAAAATTCTACATATAAAATTGATCGTAAAATATAATACTACGCATATTATAATACGTCGGTGTTGACATGAATATCAATTATATGGTCATTTTCATAAATTTACTGTTTGTAAAAGTATGAATTATTCGAAACACTAAGGATTTTCTTATCTCAGGCATAGATTACCTTGGCCGTATTTGGCACAACTTTTTAGAATTGTGGGTCCTCAATGCTCTTCATCTTTGTACTTGTTTGGCTTTCTAACTATTTTGATCTGGGCGTCACTGATGAATCTTATGTAGACGAAACGAACGTCTGGCGTATCAAATTATAAGTCTGGTACCTTTGATAACTATTTAGCAACGCAATCTATCAGAGTTGATTAAAATTTACCACTTTGAAAACAGTATTCATCCATTGTTAAAATTCACATTTGAAATTTCAGATAATCAAATACAATTTCTGGACGTAACGATATTTAAAAGAGATAGATTTAAAACTAAACAATTATTAGTTATCAAATTATATAGAAAAACTACGGATAAATACTATTATTTTGATTACTCATGGGCTCATCGATCCCGCCTCTGTATTCAAGGGATTTATTATTTGTCAAATAACATGGTTCATTCGGTTGTGTAATACCAAAAATGATCTCAACACACAGATCAAACTATTCATACACAAGCTTATACGTATAGGATTCAAGGAAAATGATATAAAAAAACTCTAAACAAACAAAAAAGTCCACCCTAGTCCTGGCAACGAAATTTAATCCTGTATTTAAGCAGTTTGGAGGACGAATAGGAAAACACTGCCATTTGATTGAAGACGACGTAATCGCTTAACATCTACTTCCCAGACTGCATATAATACTTATCGTAAACACAAGAATGCGAAGGATTATTTGATGTAAGCAAAATAATAAAGTAATTAGATAAGGAATTGACATTAAACTTTAAGAGTATTGCAGATTCACCCAGTGAAGTGCCCTGAAAATGTAACTGCATTTGATACGTTAAACGATAAAAAATATATTGATCATAACTAAAAAGTAATTATAATCAAATATTATAGTAAAATAAAAATAAATTAGGCTAGGGTTCTTGAAGAGAATGTACGGCCTTGGTCGAATATGACCTAAATGATATGCGAAACACAAGATGTAATATCGTCAAATCATAGACATTTGTAGTAGATTATTATTACCACAGATCATAACTCTAGGAAAATCTTTTCAAATATATAGATGTGTAAAACATCTATGATTTATTATAGAACAATTTACCAAAAAGAAAGGACAATCAGGTTTCAAAAGTTTAAGAAAGTCAATTGAATATTATATATATTCAACTTGAAACATGCTTGTCACCATCTTATGGTGTTTATATATCTCAACTTGTTCGATTCGCTCGTGTATGTAACAACGTATCTGATTTTAACGAAAGAAATCTCTGTATTACTGAAAAATTATTACACCAGGGTTTTTGATATCACAAACTAGTCAAAACATTTTAATAATTTTACCATCGGTTCAAGGACATAATTAGTAAATATAAATCAACATGCAAGATATCTTATACGTTCAGATATTTCACATCCAATCTTTAAAGGTAATATTCTAAACAAAGTACACAAATGTCGTCATTCACCTCAAAAGCTAACCAAACCTTAAAACAGACTTATTCAGAAGGTATATAGTGATAATACTGTTGTCAGGTCATTAAAGATGGCATATTTGGATAATAATATTGATTCACGCATAGGGTCTTTGCATCGGAAATAAACACATTTATTTTAAAACCAGTTGTTGGCATGAAATATGTTCTTCTCATATATTTTATGATGGTATAATACTAAACAGCTAACGAGTGGGATAGTGCTTGATTTTCATATGATGAAGACACAATCTTTCAAGCAGTTTAATTGAGGTCTGGAGCTGGCATGTCAGTAACTGCTAGTAGTTCTTTGTTAATTAATGTATCATTGTCATTTTGCTTAGTTTCTTTTGTTACCTATTCTGACATCGGACTCGGACTTCTTTTAAACTGAGTTTTACTGTGCGTATTGCTCTAAGCTTGGTTTTTTTCTACATTGGCCAGAGGTATAGGGAGAGGGTTGAGGTATCACAGAACATGTTTAACCCCGCCGCATTTTTGCGCCTGTCCCAAGTCAGGAGGCCCTGGCCTTTGTTAGTCTTGTATGATTTCTAATTTTAGTTCATTTATATGTTTTGGAGTTTAGTATGACGTCCATTTTTCACTGAACACATTTTTGTTTAGGGGCCATTTGAAGCCCGCCTCAGGGTGCGGGATATGCTCATTGTGTTGAAGACCTATTGGTGGCTTTCGGCTGTTTTCTGCTCTTTGGTCGGGTTGTTATCACTTTCACACATTCCCTATTTCCATTCTCAATTTTACATGTATGGATCACCAAATCGTGCATCAACAAAATAATAATATAATAAACCTATAATTTGAGACAAACCTATAAATGTATATAACTTATACACATCGAGACTCTGAAACTCGTTATAAGAACAAAATACGGACAAGAAATAAAAGTTTATATTGAAAAATGAAAACTGAGCAGCTAGAATCCCACAAAAATACAGATGATCTCAAGTGCTCTGAAAGAGTAAGGAGATCCTGTTCCATGTGTAGTATTAAGAATGAGATGCTCAAGTGGTCTTTTCATATATGTAATCACATGAGTTTGCAAATCATTTTGTGCTTTTATTATATCAATTTTTGAAGAATGGACAAAAAATGTGTGAAAGAGTATTGCTATTACAGAAAAATCTTGTATTACCCCACTGATATTTCTTGAAAGTTGGAAAAAGGGTGGGGGACGCTTCCAGAAAACTGAAGTCATTTATGTGAAAATTCATTCATAGACAAAACCAGTTTCAATGCACTACATAAATCTGTTATTAACTGCAGTATAATTAAATAACTGCAGAAAATTACTGATACGAGGAGTCTGAGCAACATGGAAAAGATCAAAGACGGAGCAAAGCCTTCAACCTGTCACCATTTTTATAAAAAATATATTTAAAAACCAGAAAACATGGATACACTTCATTTCTGAATGAATTCCCTGGTTAAAATCTGGTAAATTTAATATGGCTCGGGAGTCTTCCTCCATTTTGGATTTTGAAATAGCAGATAACGTTAGTCTAGATCTTTGATGAAATGTGCAAATTTTGAGAGTAGTATGTAATTTATGTGTAAGACTTTTGATGTATATACTAGTATAAAAAAATTGTGGGTTTTATAATAATTATGACTGTAATTTCTTAAAAAAAAAAACACCTTATTTGTGTTTAATTAATTTTTTTTCAACTTTGCCAAATAAATGGAGATAACTCAGATAAAGTAATTTTTATAATAGAAAGTGTTGTGAATTTACCTATTTTAATGTATAGCAAGAAAACAAGTTCGGTGACCCCATTTTTTCTTTTCTTATCTGAAAGCATGTTATGAGAGCTATCTTCTCACATTTTATCTTAAAATTCTATTATGTAGGTTTCTTTTTATCACACACAATTTGATTTTCAATGCATAATCTATACAAAATCTGACAATTTTGCACAACCTATAGCGTGAAAAAAAGTCCGGTGACCCTTACTTTTTATTATATATTTGAAAAAAGCATAATAAAAACTTCATTATGACAAATTATTAAAAAAATCTATCAGTTTTAATTAAGACGCTCCAGCCACCATAACATCTAATGCTCCATTTTGCAATGAAATAACTCCAAAAACGTTAGAAAAATGTTGAATTTTGACCTCCGGTTCAAGCATTTATTATGTAAACAAGAAGGAGTGACGAAAAATTCTTTACATAGTCATGTGCCTAAATGATTCGGGTCACATTTATTTATATCTCAACCAATAAAAAGCTTTAGGATGCAATTGTTTCAGTTATTTTCAGACGCGGGGAATTACCCGTGATTTTTTCGGTATTCAACGGAGGTCGTCTTTTGATTTATCATATTTCATTAACGAAGCAATTATTTTAATATATTTTTGGCAGTCGGGTTATAAAATCTATTCTGATGAAAATTAAACCGCAAAAACTGTTGAATAATATAGCGTTTTGATAAATTTATCGTCTGAAACACAGGCTACGATTTTGTTTACACGCCGTTTACAGCGCCACCACGAAATTTTTCGATTATGTCCCCTTTCCCGCGTTACTGACAAAAGGAACTCTTCAATGTCACTGGCTTTCCCACTGTATAAAGATTGGTGATTTGATAATGATAAAACGCTAACCAAGCCCTTACACCAAAGATGTTTAATTAGACAAAAAACAGAAGATTCAGTGAATAATAAAGGTATTTAAATTAGACTTAAATTAATGTTTAAGCCTACGTTAGCGTGCGTGATTATATTCATTAAAGATTCCAGTAAACAATATTAGTGGTAGGAGTGAAAGAGTGTTGACCGTTGACTTCTTAAGATGAAACTTTAAAAAGATCCAAAATGTATTGAAAGTAAGTCAAAAGTACATAACTTATTGATAGAAAATCATATCTTTCAATAATACATTTAGCTTTTTAAAATACTTTTAAAATGTTCAATTGTCGACGTACGTACGTTTTATTATATCTTTAATTGAAAGAGCAACAAGTGTTTCGCTACTTCAACCTTTAACATTACTTTTCATATCATGTAATTTCTAATACAAACATCCTAGAAATGAATATTGCTAATTGACAAATTGCACTTGCCAAGCACTGACACTCTTTTCCAGTTATGCTTGAAGTTCGAACGTTTAGGTCTTTTTCTTATTCCTTTACGGATATTATTGATAGTTTTTCTTGTGTGTATATTTTTGCGTTTTCTAATCTACATTTTTTTTCTGATTTCATATTCCACGTATATGTTTCGTATTGTGTACTAAGTAAGGAACTTACCAGGCAACTGAATTCTCTGAAAAAAGAAGAAACTTGTTAAATAATACTTATAAAAAGGATTACGTGCATATAATTGACAATGTTTTCCTTAGCTGAAATTAAACTGTTGGGGTCAGTTCAAACACATCTTCAAAACGGTTAACATAATCTGTTATAAAAGAGCTCTGCACTGTTCTAGAGTAAATCTACTGTAAAAATATTCATGGATAAAATTATTAGGATATGTTCTAGGGGAAAAGATGCAAAGTGAAACTCTGTTATGGAATATATTATTGCTAAAAGGTCTGCATTAAAACTGTCATAATATTTCTACGTTACATCATTAAGATGTATCCTATGACTATAATTTGGATCAGTTGTAGCCATTGATGAAGTCAGGCGCTGTTTAGATGTAATTGCACGCCTCTAGTGGAATTGGGAATAAAGTACGTTCGTCATTGGTTACGCGAAATGGAAACACGAAAAAGAAATGACTTAGTGTGGTATATCACGAATCCAGTAACTTTCTTTCAATTGCAGTATTTTTCTTTGCCACTTTGATTTTGTTTTTGCTGCTGGTTTAATATCCTTGAATTAATTAGTTTATTTCCTTATCAATTGATTACGCTTGAGCATGTCCCATGATATTTCAATGAATGGATGAAACACATTTTTGATACGACGATATTACTGGACTCCCAAAATTTGCAAGCAAAGAATCCCTAATTTTTGAAACCGGATTGGAGAATTTGAGGTCTTGAACAAATAGACGTAAATTATGTTTATTTCATAAAATACACAATAATAATGTTTCAGAATATCTAATGGATTGTTTCTCAGATTATGCAGATAATAATTGATAACAATCATAATATTAGAAACCGTTCTCAATAAAGATATTGGACATATATTCTTAATTTTTTTCCCGTCCTCAATTCGTGCATGGAATTTATAGCCGTTAAATATTAGATCCATTCAATCATCACGAAATTTCACAAATACAATCCGGGAAATGACTTTTGGTACCTAAATATAATCTTATTGGAAATAGGAAAAATGTGTGCTTGTGGATGTTCATTGGAAGGTTTGATTCATTTTGTTCTTAGAATGTCCAACTCTACTTATATCTTAGAAATCAGCCTTTGAAAATATCCAACATTTAGGTGCTATTTTCATAGATCATATTCTATTTGGAACAGACGAAATTATTTTTGAAATAAACACAATCCTTTTCAGAAATATACATAGTTATATACATCATACAAAACGATTCATTGATGAATATTGCTGTATATTATTTAAAGTGTAGTCGTATTCAACTGTTATTGTTTAAACGTAATATATGTATTGTAGAATGTATATATTGGGGGAGGATGTTAAGTTGTTGTATCCAACTGAGGCACGGGTAAACACAGACAAATTACGCGCTCATTCGTGTTAACAAAGAGTTATGTCAAAAACTAACCTTTCCAGATTATCAAAAAGTTATTGTATACTTATGTGTTGCAGGAAATATGAAGCTTCAGAAGATCCCAAAAGTAGATAACCGATGAGAGATAGTTATCATTATGTCCATAGGAGTGTTATGTCTGTAATTAATACGTGTCCCCTCCAGATAAAATCATAATTTATCATCTTTTTTTTACAGCAGTTTGCTTTAAAAACATAATAGTATTCTGCATTTAACTCGTCCTACCTTAATTCTATATATCATTTTTTTACATTGGCTCAGGTCCATGGAAATGCATTACATATTTGAAGGCTTTGAGTAAAGCAATCATTATGAATTTTGAAAGAGACGCTGGAAGAAAGACATGGAGTTGTGTAGATCTATTGTAAAAAGATATAATTTCAAGTATCAAATTTCGATTTTGACGCCGTCTCTACTTAAATTTGTCTGTTTTAATTGCATCTTTATTTCTCAATCTTTTTTCGACTTTACTGTTTATTTGCTATTCAATTGTTTCCTTTTTTAATAGAAGCGCTTTTCTAGATTGAGGATTTTTAATGACGTTAATAATGCCTTTTCGTGTCTATCAATTACCTTAACATACTCTGCAGGAAAAAATCCTTTCCTTCTACCTATTTCCCCAATAAGCCACCGCTTAGTTTCTTGGCCAATAACATCAAATTTTACTTCTTTCGGGAAATCCAATTCGTCGCTCGTCTTGGCTTTGTACGACTTAATGGAGATGACACTGTAACGTGATTCTTCAGACATCTCTATCTTTGCTATATAATAAAGAGTAATATATAATTTAATGTTTACTCGAAATAATTATCCATGCAAAATGAATACCAAACATTAAGTTTTTATAAGAATTTCGCACCTGTTAACTAAGGATTTGCTTATTCTAGGCATAGATTACCTATCCGTATTTGGCACAACTTTTTTAAAATTTTGGGTCCTCAATGCTCTTCAACTTTGTACTTGTTTGGCTTAATAATTTGTTTGATCTCAGTGTAACTGATGAGTCTTATGTACACGAAACGCGCGTCTGGCGTATTAAATTATAATCCTGGTACCTTTGATAACTATTTACGTCTCAAATACATAACATTAACACATTTGTGTTTAAGGTGAAAACATCCAGATGTAATTATTCAATAACTGATTATGTTCAAATTCCTATCGATAACTAGTAATTCTTATACACATTTTACATGTTTCATGGAAGTTGTTTTATCGCGTAAATCTACAACAAAAACATAATACTTTTCTGCTCACCACTTATTTTAAGGATAAAATGAACGTTTCAAACAAAATCTCGTTTGCATGTATCAAAATGTTTTTAATGTTCTTGATTTTGGTTTCTTCAGTTTGGAGGGTTATACTTTTTAAACGACTGAATCTGTCTTTAAAGGTCTCATTGCAGTGGGAACAATATCTGTAGAAGAGAAGAAAATGTATTCGGATGTTATCACAAAATACACTCGCCACTGAAAAGATGTGAGGAAACGCTTTGTATTGTTAGACTTTGAGGCGTTACTTTACACACCTAGGGTCCTTCGTTGTGTTTTCCTTCGCACATTTCTTTTAGTTACCGGTTCCTCATCTTCCGAGCTCCCTGAAATAGAAGGAAGCAAATTCAATTTGTTCACATTGTTCTAAAATTTAAATTAATATGTTGTATCTTATGTCTTTTTATGCGTAAAGTGCATGAATTTTTTTTAATTTAGTTGAGTATTCAAAACGGAAACCTTTTCAATTTCTGATATTTCGTAACAACGATAACAAAATTTACGGTCGTGGGTATCATAAGCAATGTGTAATTTGTTACACATTTAATAAAGTTTTATAATGGGGTGCATGTTACTTCGTCTTGATAGTTATATCTAGAGTTAAGTAGACTGTCTTTTCGATGTTTCTAGTATTTATTTATGACCTTGCCAGAAATCTCCTACTTATGACTTTTGATAGTTCCTTCGATATCTCCTGCCGTTTTAAAACATCTTGTCTTTAACATTTCTTCACAGCGTCAGACTCACTAACTGGCATTTTAAGAAAAGGTCACTACCATACTATCAAAAGACGTTGCATAACATCATTATACAAACCACCAACATTTTAATGGATATATAGATAGATAGATAGGTAGGTAGGTGTATAGATAAATCGTAGATATTGGTTTTTATACATAATATTTGAAAGTCAAAATTTTCGGGCTAAATTAAGGCTTTCATCATCCCACTCATTGGTAAATTTTCGACCAATTAGAATACATATTACCTCCTTTACAGACGTCACTTGTGTCAGCGGACACATTGTAGTAGTGTACATCATTCGTGTTTTCATAGATACAATATCCTTCAGACGAATCATCGTCATCATCTTCAAAATCACTGCATGATTCTGTTTGAAAAAAACAAAAATTAAATGTTCCATTTTCGTTTGAAAATTTGTGTTCTGTTTCTACCAATGTTAACTGTACCTATACCCTGTTGAACTTCCTTATCAAGGTGAGTACAACTGAGTTGTAAGACGCATTGAAGCATATCAGGTGGATAAGTGTTATTGAAGCACTGGAAATACAAACAATATACAGTCAAAGTATTTTAATCCAAACCAGTAAACTGTCTTGCTTTCGCTTTTAAAAAAGTTTGAACTTCAATATATATAGGTTTGTCGCAAAAGAAGCACCAACATTCGGGAAGTTAAAGAAAGTCTATAAACATTTATATTAATTATTAGTTGGAATTAATGACATCCATCGTATTTAGTTTTCCTATAACACTGTTCACTTGATAAACTTACCAGATTCAATCGGTTGATTTTCTAACTCTACAAATGAAAAAAACAATGCAAAATTTGCAGATTTTCCTTATATTTAAATAAAACATTGTCAAATCACGATTAAGTGAATTGAGATTATTGAGATTGTTAGCTCAGTCCTTTTAATTAGGCTTATAAACTGAGTTAACTATATTTGGCAGCGTTTTTCAGTCCGTAAGTTTGTATATTTACTAAATGATATAATAAATGAAATTAACACTAAATAAATGAAGTGCGTTCTTAGCTATTTCCTAGATATACCGACTTCAGCAGCGCTCACACCTTAACATTCTAAAACAAATAGGCAAACACACTAGGAGCTAAATGAACAAACTGGACTTGAATGAAAAGCTTAATTTACTTAAAGTTAACTTTGCCTCATTGGTAATTGGAAATTTAGTTCCAAAATAATTTCTTATATTATCAACGTGGGACAAACTCATCATAGATACCAAGACTTAAATCTTGTACGCAAGACGCATATTTCGTTAACAAAAGACTACTCAGTAATGCTCAAATCAAAGCAGGAAAAAGACCAAAGATTTAAGAAAAGTGTGTTATAAATGATGTCAGACCAAGCTCTGACTACTTAGCTGATTAAACCACCAGGATCTAATATTTCGCTAACAGCAGTATCAAACAATTGCTAGAAAATGACGATAACACTTATAAAGTTGTTCGTTGGAGGCGTTTTTGTTCTGGATTTGCCCTCATTTAAAACACTGAAACAATTTTATTTTCAACTTTTGTTATTTATTCTTCTCATATAGTAGCAATGCTAAAACAGGTGTTTTACAACCATTTAGGTTAAAATGCAATGCAGTGTTTGTCATTTCTTTTTCTTTAACTATTGTCTTTTAATGTATTACAACTAAAATTGAGAATGGATATGGGGAATTGGTCAAAGAGACAAAACCCGAGCAAAGAGCAGAAAACTGCCCAACGCTACCAATGGGTCTTCAACACAGCGAGAAAATCTAGCACCCGGAGGCAGGCTTCAGCTAGCCCCTTAACAAAAATGTTTACACGTTCAGTGAATATAGAGGCACACTAAACTCAAAAACATATAAATGAACTAAAATTAAAAAAAAAGAAAAATACAAGACCAACAAAGGCCAGAGGCTCCTGACTTTAGACAGGCGCGAGGTTGAGCATTTTGTTTACAAATATCTATTAGACTTTTAAGCATATTTTATCAGACAAATGAATTTTTATTCTCAGATAATGTTGCCATAATCCATGAAGAGTGAATCGGACTTTCTACATATTGATTTCAAAATACGTTTTTTGTTGCATTGAACTTAGGGAATCGCAAATGCAAATGGTTCTTAATTTGCATTGTTCTTGATGTGGATTATAAAATTATGTCATTCTGCTGCGCGTCTAAGTACAAGTTTTACTCATGTGTAAATCCTTATTTATTTAGGATTTGAATTTTTAAAACTACCATTTTATTTCTTTTCCAAATTCAATTCCATATCAACAAATAAATAGGTATTTCTAACTAGTATACTAATAAGAAAAGTCAAATGATTTTTGATTCCTTTGAGTTTGTATTATATTATTACATAGACAATAATAGTGTATTGACTTGACAAATCAAAGATATAAGGATGAGGCTCAGAAACGGGGAAATGCGAGGCTCTGCCAAGCCTTTTCCCCGTTTCGGGCCGAATCCTTATATCGTTGGTATGGCAAGTCAATACACTATTATTGTCTTTATACCGCAATGTAGAAAACTATCATTTTTAATTGTTGTTTATTGTGTTATTGTTATTTGTTTGATGTAAATATTTGTAAAAAGCTCCCTTTAAAAATGCCTCATATCTGGCAGAGAAATATACAACACAATGAAATGGACATTACCTGTTAAAACAAATCAATGGTGAACGAATTAGTTTGAGTATGGACTAAAATATCAACAATAAGCATAAAACATAATGATTTAAACACAAGATATTAACAAGCGAAATATGTTTTTCCAACAATTGTAAAAGAAATAAATTTCAGTCGTTATACGCTTCGTTGTATACATTGGAAACAAGGACTGGTTGAAAAGGTCAATAAAAAAATAGTTCCGGCTCTACTATTTAGATATTCATGAGGAAAAGTGATATCGGGTCAGTGACCGTATATGACATAGAAATATACAGTCAACGCATTTTGACTGCTCAAATAGAACGAGTGCAGTATAAAGGTTTATATAAAACCTTCTAGTGTCATATTGGTGACGTGTAGTTAAGTTTAATCAGTTATAGAGGATACATTTATAAAGTTTATATCCCTATTATTGAAGAGCTCATTCTACTTAAAGGATTCATGAACATAAAAAAAAAATATGACATAAAATCATTTCCACACAAGTGTTCGTACACCGTATGATAAATTTGTAGCATATAAATATATTAAGTTACCTATGTAATTATTCGGCGTCCTGTTTTCCTTCTTTGGTCGCGGAGGTAACATAGGTGGACGTTCAATAGGAGCAGTACTTTGCCTATTTACTTCTATAATAAAGTAAAACTTAATTAACTTCTAGTTAATAGTTTTTCTTAGAGTTTGCTTTCATAATAAAGGACATTTGTTTTTTGTTTATGAATTCGAATACCAGTAGTCTAATTTTTCACAATAACCAATAGTAATTTTTGTTCCTGAATTTTGCATGAACATATTTGCAGGAAGATTTTATTTAAGTTTTATACATTAACATAATATCTCTCTCCGGTCATTACGTAAATGGTACCCATTGTTCTGCACCAGATGCCCATTTCGACAATAAATGTCTATTTGGTGAAGTTTGAGGCCATAATATTTGAAAATTGTTCGAAGTACATTTGTAGTCGGGATTTTCTACCCAAGGAATATATTACCTTAGCATTTTGAATTTTGAGTCCTTAATGCTATTTAACTCAGCTCCGTATTTTATTTTATCTTTTGAACTGTTTTGATTCAAACGTCACTGATTAGTCTTTTGTAGACGAAACGCGCGTCTGGCGTACAAAATTTTAGGTATCTTTGATGAGTTTATCTAATATGCTATTTTATTTATATTTATTGAGCTCACCTTCATAAACATCTGAACCCACATTGTTAGAATCAATGTTCATCTGGGAATAAGACGGTGTTATTGATTGCCCGTTATGTACTGATAGTCCTTCATACATATAACGACCTAAAATGATATTTAGATTTTTTTTATTGAATATATCAAGAAGTTTAAAAAATATTTGAAGTTTAAAAACAAATGATACTCACTCAAATATAAACCGTTTTTGTACAATAAAGCCCACATCTAAAATCCGAAAGCCTCTTTCGAATATTATTGTGTTATTATTACATTAACCGTTCATCAATTTTTATCTTAACATCAAAACCAAACAAAAACATGTCGAATGACACAATGATTGTATAAAAAGAGATTATTTTTTAAACAATGAAAATACATTTGTTATTCGCCAATACAAAGGAAAATTCAAATCAGCATGAAAAAATATAACACATTGGATATTGCCAATGAAGGAGATCTGTTGTGCCGACAAGTGTACACACCTTCTTAATGACATACGTAGTAATTAACATTGTTAAATAATAATTCCATATCCAATTTGAAAGCGGAGCTCGATCAAAAGCCTGTCCACATGAACTTGTGAGTTGTAACCTCGCTTGTTCCAGTACATTTTGAGTCTTGCTACGACGATAGTCGTACATCTAACCTGTCCGTCATCTCATTTCAGACATATGTCATGTAGTCATAAATTAAATAATTGACAAGTACAGCACCGTACATAAACCCTTTCATTCTTAATCTCCAATGTAAGACAGCGCGCGTTTTTTGTTCTGTTACGGTTCAACGCATTTAATCTACCCGTGTTGACCAGTAAATAGTTTTTTACATAATCATTCTCTTTTTGGATGCAATCAACGAAAATGATATTAATGTAACTTTATTACAAACATTAAATAATTAATATGATAACTTTTTAAGGCACGTTTGAATCAATGTAAATAAATCATAAAATTTAAAAATGGAGAAATTATTTTTAATTAAATATGTATTTATTTCTGGTCCTTCAATTCTAGTATAAAATTGAGAATGGAAATGGGGAATGTGTCAAAGAGACAACAACCCGACCACAGAACAGACAACAGCAGAAGGTCACCAACAGGTCTTCAATGCAGCGAGAAATTCCCGCACCCGGAGGCGTCCTTCAGCTGGCCCCTAAACAAATATATATACTAGTTCAGTGATAATGAACGCCATACTAAACTCCAAATTGTACACAAGAAACTAAAATTAAAAATAATACAAGACTAACAAAGGCTAGAGGCTCCTGACTTGGGACAGGCGCAAAAATGCGGCGGGGTTTAACATGTTTGTGAGATCTCAACCCTCCCCCTATACCTCTAGCCAATGTAGAAAAGTAAATGCATAACGATACGCACACTAAAATTCAGTTCAAGAGAAGTCCGAGTATACAATACATATATAGCGATAAAACCAAAGTCGTCAATCCCCATATAATTTAAAGTCATACATGTATGAAACGAGTTTCTTTAGAGTTAAATGTTATCGAAATTATTGAAACTAATGCATGCTCCGTGCTGAAGGCCGTACTTTGACCTATAAGGATTTAATTTGTAAACTTTGTGACTTTGATGGAAGGTTGTCTCATTGGCATTCATGCCACATCTTCTTATTTCTATATATACTAAACTATGTCTTGCATCACATTTTTTATATTTATTACACATCTATAACGTATTATCGACTAATAATAATTCATTCAGTGGTTGTTGATCGCAAGCTAATTATATTTTGAGTTAGTTGCTGAAGTTTACCTGATCGTGACATGATAAACAATAAAAACAGAGCACGTGGAAAACTTGACAAATAAGTGAATTGAGAGAGCCATGACATTTGTATTGATATTTTCAATGAGTTCCAATTTATTAATTAAACTAGTTCTTAACAGTTGTTAAATGATTTGCTGTATTAAATTTGTTCTTTAAGAATCTGTTATTACTATGTACCTTTAAAAGCATGGATTTCCCCTCGAACTTGCGAAGTGCGGTGGCCAAAAATATATCGATAGGTCTCATTGTTAAGGTCACTGTATACGGGAAAATATCGGCGAATTAGTGTCTGGGAAGTCAATAATTCAATATCGGTACATTTATGAAGATTTTGATAATGTAGATGATTTTCTTTTAAAAAAGTTCACGTTCACTTCTTTTATAGTAAAACTTAGCCATTCAAGTATATAAATTATATTCAATTTTTTTTTAATTTGAAGTTTTACATGACTGTAATTTATGACCGGATATAGAACACCTACATCGTAGTTGTTTTAATTTTCGATAATTAGGTTGATTTCATTTCATACAATGCGTACCAGTGATGTTTTTTCTCTTTCTCTCTCTCCTGTGTAGGTACAAAAAGTCGATTGCATTTCCGAGAATAAGAATGATACGGATACAAAATATAGTTCTTTTTATATATTGTATATATATTTATAACTTTTATTAAAATTTGATTATTCTTTCATTATTATTATCGGAAATACAAGGGATTTTGAATGAACTTTTAAAAGGTTGTCGTTATGGGAAACGTTCAACTCAAATTGTATAATGGTAAGAATAATAACGAAAATAAGATTTTTTTTTTCACCAGAAAAGGTAAAAATGAGAACAAGATTCGTAATCATAACAAACTGAATAATCTGAATACAAAGAGAAAGAACGTTGTCCTGAATATGTAGAAATTACCACTGGGGATAAACAACCATCCATCCTACTTCAAAGTCTATATTTGTATTTACGAGAGCAAAATGGTGCATGGTTATTATTATTTATTCTAAGTTTAAAAAAATCAAATATGTAATCAACAAAGTTAAACAATCTTAATTTAACTTAATAGGCCTACGATACAAATTACACAATACACAAGAAGACCTCGTTGCCGGTATTATTCTGTTTCGAAATAAGCATTACCTCTCTCTTGTGTCGCTTATTTTATATAGATACATTTTATTAGTTAAATTGTGATGTCATGATCAATTTATTATATTTATAGCTTATTCATTCTTTTATAAATCGATGACACATGAAAAAATATTTCCGAAAGGAAAAGCCACTCTTTAATTAAATGAGTAATTTATGTGTTTCATGTATCTCCACATCGCCATACATTTCCTGAAAAAGAGATGCAATTCTACGTAGTTTATACAATCAAATAAGTATAATTTCTTTTTGTTAAGTAACATTTCAAATACAACCATAAAATTAATCACGCATTACAATCCATTAATACCGTTAGAAAATTGAATACGAAATAATTTTGGACACGGTTGCAAACAAAGCTGTTATTTTATAATTAAATAAACGAATGACGACAAAAAGGAATAAATAAGACGCATGTTAACGCAGGCGGAAACCCAGTTGAAATTAAACAAAAGGAATGGAACTCTTTGTTACAAAAAGTAAAAAAGACCAAGTTGGTAAATTTTAATTGTTTACATCTGTTTCTATGGGCTTTAAAAGTTTAATGAATGTACCTAATATAGGGTTTTAGCGTCTTTTGTACGTGTCTTTACTTAAATTATTCAAGATATTTGTAAACTTTAAATCTAAGGCAATTTTTTACAAAACAGTCGATTGTGGAAGTACAAATACATGTGGATCTGTTTTGTGCATAAGCATAAATTCCGCCGAAAAAAATTCAAAGAAAGATAACAAATTGATCTTTTTAAAGCATTAATTTGCATCTCTGCACCCGGCGAGAGTTTGTTAGGAAAAAATCCCCAAAATAGGCAATCATTTCATCAAAAAGAGAAAGTCGAGTACACCTTTTTATGCTCAGGCGTGTTCTAGATGGCTATTCCGTCTTGAAATCGTATAAAAGAAAAATATTTGATACATAATCTCGCTTCAGATTCTATGTTTTTTAATTTATTTAAGCTCTAGGTTGATATAATAACATTAGAAATTTACAGTACTAAAAATAAAATATATATGGGTCATCTGAAATACCTCTCTAATGAGTCATAACAACAGAGAAGGTGTGTTCGAGTAACAACATTTTACTGAAAGTACTTGACGACAGACTTTTCAAGAGGATCCTACAAATGCATAACTTCAAAAAAATCTAATTTTGTTTTGTGTGTCATCTAGGGTAATTAGTCTTCAACCTCTCAACACTGTTAGTCTGCCCTTCCACGAAATATTTAATTGGAAGGTTTTAATATGTTTTTGAGCATTCGAAAATTCCCCCTGACAACCGATAAGACAATAGTTTTAAGTTTACCAATTGCATAAACTACATGAAATGATGCTCAGTACATGTGAAGCTAGTAGATACTTTTGACTTTTAAAATACAACAGGCATACAAGGATCGTATTTATAATATGTGGACAAATTTATCGGTTTTCAAGAGCTAAATTCACAGCGCGTCATCACTACACTGGCTTCCATTTTTACGATTATAAGAAATAGGTGGCGTAATTGGGATATATTTTGACGAAGTAGAATTCTGCCTGAACGGCATTGTTAACATTTGGAAACATATATTCCAATAGATTCAATTAATACGAATATCATTTAAAACCCCTTGATTGATTCGTAAAATGAGCTTGACCTCACTTAATTTCTAAAAAAAATTAGAACAGGCTTCCAACATTTTACAAAAACCTGCCGATTGCACGAACTAAGATTGGCGGGAAATAACTTGACAGTAAACACGAGTGATTGTGATGACCAGGATTAGAGAGTGAAATAATTGATAGAGAAGAATAAATGATAATGCTCTTACGGGAAACATACTGTCGGAAGAAAAAAAAATAAAAGTTTATTTTTTAGAACTGATCAATTCTCCGAGTTTTGATTAAAAACCGCAATTGATTTATTCACTGACATTATGTACATGAATGACAAGAATATCGAAAAAAGTGAAGCTCAGGATGATTGAACAATTTCGAAGTTTGTCTTAAGAGTTTATAATAATATCCCGTTCCGTTTTTTTCATCCGTAATTTTCTTTAATATGTTACCTAAATCTTTTATCTGCACAATTGATTTGGCTGACATGTTTTGTGTTATTAAACTGAATAATTTCCCGAGTTTTGAATAAAATGCAATTGATTTGTCTATGACTTATAACTAGAATGTTGAAATAAATTAAGCATAGTTGAAATACACAATTTCGAAGTTCCCTTTTAGATAGTTATTATCTTAAAAACAAATAATATCCTGTGCCATTTTTTATCCCTAATTTTCTATATTAAAACAGTGAAATATGTTACAGGAATATATCATCTATCAATCTTTAAAAATCTTTACAGGAAGATTACAAATTTACCAATCACAGCTACAGATTAATTTACGACTTTCTAGCAAAGTATTACACAGGTAATATCATTGCAAGGGTTAACTACAGTCCGCCATATGTCGGACTAGTCGGAATTCTTGTCGCTTAGGGACATTTATAGGAGCAAGACTTAAAATGTACTGTACATCTGACTTCGATCTTAACTGACCAGGATCGATGATGTACCATAAAATAATGCCTGCGGCTGGCAAACATGAAACCAAATATACATTAAAGAAGTGTTCAACATTATCTTTGTTTTGGTATGTATGATTATATTAATAGTAATATTAGTAGCGGAAAGTGTTTTTAATAATACCTCCTTCTTGAGAACGTCTTACACCATCGTAAATATCAAGTTGACTAGTTGTTCTGTCTGGCCAGTTTGCGTAGGATTGTCTGCTTCTTGTATATGAAAATATATCGTAAAGCAAAATAAACAATTGTAAATTGTGAATTTTTGAGTAAGCTCCACATTTGTGTGTCATTTTGTACTGGTAGAACTAATCTGTAATTGTTTAATAAGTTGATATGGTAGAAGGGTGAAACAATGGGCAACCGAAATTCCTCTCGAAAAGTTTTTTTATAAGAGAATAGCAAAATATTTGAAAAGCACACATCTTATATCAAAACGGTTCGATCCCAAAATGAAACTTTTGGAAAAGTAAATTCATGTAGTGAACTGTTAATTTCTACATAAGGAAATGCCTGTACCAAGTCAGGAATAAGATAGTTGTTTACCATTGATTTGATGTGTTTGAGCTTTTGATTTTGCCATTTGGTTAGGGACCTTCTGTTTAGAATTATCATCGGAGTTCGGTATTTTTTTTTTTTACTTTTTCCGCAAAGCCTCAGTGAGATACATATAGAATTAACTGCAATTTAGGATAGAATGTTATGCGGATGTCATCACATTTCTATTTTGACATGACTAAGGTTCTATTTTGTAAATTCTTTATGTAATGTTTTCTTTATTAATAAATGATTGGCAGTATTTCTTTAGAATGTAGCAATAGCTAGTATCATTGATTTTCTCACACCAGCTGACGGAAAGATTTTGCGATACAATTAATATTTTGAGGATAAATTTAATTCTCAACTGGGTATTCATTTTTAATATTTCCAAAATACTACTAAAATAGTAAGAACGCAGTAACTAAACGTGAGTTTAAAACGACCTGGTGTACTTACAGCATGTCGTTAGCAAAATTGATTCCTTCTTGAAGCCTGTCTGTCCATTCCTGAAGAAAAATGGAAGAATCTAGTGATATCATTTTGAAGAAAATTAGAGGATAAGATGTTTCGTTTCCAAGTTAAGTATATTGTAATAGCGTTAAGCGTTGCTTTTAATCGGTATATTATACTTGTTGTTTATTATTTATTGGGATAAGCGCTTTTACTGTTTTTTATTTTACATTGTTTAAGATGCAGTAGGTTATCCACGGATCAAGTTTTGAAGGGAGAGGTAAGAGAATAAAATGATACGTTACTCATATAAACAAAGTTCATGTCGAGTTTGTGATATGGGAGCCTGTTGGTGTCGTGAAGACATTTTAGCATGTTTATTGTGACATCATCACCAATCATAAAAAATGGTTATGCATTCTACATACGCGACAAGAAGAATTATGCGAACAAAATACAAAGGGATAAGTGACCGGAGGTGTTTCTGTGTAAACCAGATATGTTTATTAGGCTTTACGATGAATATGTTAACAAACTTAATATGCAATTGAAAATAAGTTACGCAGGATTGAAAACACCGTACACTTCTGTAAACGAATCTCTTTTGTTTTTAATTTGAATCTGGCTTCAGTTAGACACTTTACGAATCAGCTCATTAAATTGATAAAAGCAGTGCATTTACAAAACTAACCATTACGTAGTTTCAATATCGTGGTTTATAAATGTTTCCCTTTAGATAGGTACATTAAAAATACTATTCGTTATCCATATTTGTATTGTTGTATTTATATTGGCAATAGCATATATATGTATATATTTGGTCATATGCTGATTTTGATGAAAAAAAGAATAAACTGTTTTGTTTTGCGTTTTTATTTTTTGGGATATTTTTGCGCATTCAAGGTTAGATTTAAGGGACGAAATGAAAGTGGAAGACAATATGAAATTTGTATATCTATACATTATTAACAGTTTCTCACGTTACGCATGTTACGTAAGTGTACAGTTAGTCCTGAACTGGACATCTTTTTGGGGGATTTTGAAAATGACTCGCTAAGCATGATGCCTACATGTAGTTGAACTTTTCATCACAAGTGCATTATGAAAATAAAATGTATTAAATCAACATGAAATTATCATTCAAATCTCTCCATAAACATTAAAATCTTTATATTTTGAGTAACTGTATTTCATTTATATGTATAAACTGACGTTGTTATGTTCTAAATTTAGATAACCTTGCATAATTCTGAACTGTCTTAGCCTCTTGTCAATTGTTAATGTAAGATGGGAAATATTTCGGGAGAATATTTTATAAAACCATTGGCTTTATACTTTCTTCTCTTGACTAATATCAATAATGTCAACTTCTGTGTATTGCCATACTACATGTAGCACATATATACGTACTTGTAACTCTATCTCCGAAGACGTTGCAAAACATTTCGACTTAGCAGCATCCGAATGGACTAGTTTGAAAACCCATAAAACTTCATTTTCTTCAAGTATTGGTAGCTGAACACTGTAAAAATAGTGGTAATATGATCTTTTATTTGCAATGCAAAACGTTGACTTATCAAATTAACTCAGGATTTCACTATACCTCAACTAATATTGCTGCATGTGGACAGGTATGGGATAATAGTAATCAGTTATCGTAATCAGCTGTATTCGATTACATTTTGCAGTGTAATTACATGTAGCCAGTAATCATGAATTTTATGATTACAAGTAATCGTAATGAAATCGACTACAATGCAAAAACAGATGTACATGTAATCATGATTACTTTAAGACTACTTTTAGGTAACATTCAAATGATTACTTGCTGATTACACATTGTATACATAATTTTTTGTATATACAAGAATAAATAAAAATAATCCTCAAACTAACGTTCACTATGAATAATCTTGGTTCAACATGATTGATCCCATTAACTATTCTATACTTTCAGTTTTTAGTACACTCATGCTTAAAGGTATGAAAGGTGTACATGTGTGGCTTTTTGAACAGTTTACTGCATACATTTACTTTTCCAAAAGTTTCATTTTGGGATCTAGCCCTTGTGATATAAGGTGTTTGCTTTTTAAATACTTTGCTATTGTCTTAGCATGCAGAAAATTCTCGGACTGTTAAGATTAAGTGCAAACTTTGCTCTTTATATTGATTTTGATGTTTGACTTTAAATGATAATGGATTTTAGTACCAACTATTTTTTTCACAATTTGTATTACAAATATTCCATAATTGTTTATCATGTGTTTTCTTAATATGTTTGTATAGAAATATAAATTTTACAATCATGTATATAATAACAATATATTGTATACAAATTAATTGTTTATTCCAATCAAAACAATTCATTTTAATTACCCAAGCTTACTTATTGTTTGTATAGAATTTGAAGTGGTAAGTTACAACTGTAAAAACACACTGTAGTTTCAATTATATCAAAGGCTATCTGATTATTAAATATTCACTATTTGTTAGTGTTGTCTTCTTAATAGAAAATGCTATTCCTTTAAAAGAGAGCACAGAGACATTTACATTCAAAGTAAATATGTCAAATAAAATAATATAAACTATGTTATCAAACGATACAACCATCACACTGCTCCTTTTCTTAGTTCTTATGCGTAACATGTTTATACTTGAAATATTAACAACACAATTTTTATTAGCTTTTTCAATGTGCAGATAGCATTTTTAAATTTGTTTTCAATACCACAATATCCAATGTAATCATAAGTAATTTTAAGTAATCATAACTACTTTAAAGAAAAGTAATCTAATGTTACCAATTACATTTGAATATAGGTGTAATTCTTATGTAATCGATTACATAAAATTAGCATAGTAATTATAATTTAATCGATTAGATTTTTAAAGTAATCGCCCTCATCCCTGCTTATGGAATATAAATCACCGAGAGTGTCACTTCCGGTATAATATGATAGATAGTTTACAAGATATTCCTGGTTTGAGTGTCGTTATAATCATATAAATATTAAAATATGATATCTATAAATTCCCAATCGTTATATTAGATAGATGATAAAAGAGGGGTGAAATATACCAAAGGGTTATTTAAAATCATAAGTCCCAAACAAACTGAAAATGCCGTGGCAAAAATAAAAGACAAACAACAGTATACAGAGCACAACAAAGAAATTGAAAAACTGCGCAACACCAACCCCATAAAGACCGGGGTCATCTTTGCCAATAATAAGATAAGATAAAAAGAGGTCTATGTTTTGACTTAATGAAGACCCTGACTATTATGCTGTTTTTTGCCAGATAATACTTTTGTTTTCATTGTTTGTGCAAGTTAAGGAAGTACAAAGTTTCATCCATGTCGATAGAAAATTTTTAACTGAAAATCATACTCTTTTCGAATTGGGATATTGAATTCAGGTTTAATACCACCATTGATTTTCCCCTACTAGTCTTTGTTAAATTTTCACTTTTTCAAAAAATTGTGCAGAATTTATCTTTGTTTCAAATAAAGACATACTTGGAATGAGTAAAGTTAAACGTTTTATCCTGTCCAGTACTAATGTAAAAATTTCACATAGCATTTCATTCCATATAAGAAAATAACCAACACTGGAGGTTAACCGATCAAACTGTCAACCCTTTTTTCCTGTGTACAAGCTTAAGTAACCATGTAACCTCATGTTTCTAAAATGTTCTATAAAAACACCAAAAACAAAAATTATGGTGCTTTGAAACACCCAAGATATATGTTTATGACTCCGACATTTTACTGCAATGAAATGTAGAAAATATTTCCTACAACTGTCAAATTCAAGGAAATTATTTTTTTTTTACCCTTTTTTGTATGCAACCGGATGTGACGTACTATGATTTTGTGGTATTACACATTCAATAAGTCTTGAACAGCAAAGAGAAGTATTAATCATTTTTGTTGTTTAGTGTAAAATTATATTTATTTTTTAAACGTGTATACTTCACGCTGTTTTATATTCAAGTAACGGTTGGTTTTAAAATATTGTGGTTTTTAAATTGTATTTGTTGGAATAAAATACAAGGAACATAAGCCCTACCTTTTAGTTTACTTGAAAAGCAGAACATATAATAATTACTACTGAAAAACTAATGATGTTAAAGAATCACCTTTTATATCCATACAATGAGAAAGAAGTTTCTTTAAAGTGATTTGTACTGTTCTCATTCTTGAAAATATAGACATGACCTTTGTATAACACTGCAAATTTCTTTGACCCTAAATGAAAAAAAAAAAGACAAAAAAAAAAAGCAAAATGTAGGAATTAAATATTTAATGCACATTTTATAGGAAGCATTGCTGTGAAATTTTCACATCTTGCATTATAGAATTACACAAAACCTCATATACCGTACTATATTATACTTTTAGTTGATGGCTGGTTAAAGATATGGATTACAATGACTCATTTTATGCCATTCACGTGTCTATTGTTTAAGATTGTTGATCTTGAGAGGGTTTTGGTTTTCTATGATCTTATGGGTGCCGTTTCATTGATGTTTCACCACATATTTTTATCAATACATTTTCTTTTTTGCGTTTGAGTTCTTGTTATTTTGAACTTTAATTAATATAATAAAATATGTGTCTTGTTTCAAATATGCTTACATTTATTCATAATGTTCCGACTTCTTAGCCATCCAAAGAAATTCACACCTAAAGCAATAAGGCTTTGACAATCTGGAAAATATTACTTTAAATGTCACAGAGAAACATTAGTAATCAACACATTAAGAAATCAGTAAATTTTCTAATTTAATGTATAAATGTTTCTAGAAAATAAGTGTGAATTTTCAAATGCTTCTCTCTTAAATTATTAGAAATTAATATTACTTGCACCAGTTCTAAAATATAAATTATTTGATGAACGTTACTTTTACTTTATGAGCTTGTCATTTAGTTGTCCTTTACTTGCCATTTTAATTTAAAATCCTGAAGTTATAAATGCGTATGCTTTAAATTGACATTACCAACTTTCTCAAAGGGTGGACGGCGTCTTCTTTGATTCATTGTTAAAGCGACGCTAAGGTAGAAAATTCCATAAAAAGGATAGTTTCTGTAAAAAATGGTAAACATAGTTAGTAAATAAAAAGGTACTTGTTTTGCTTGAAGAGATAAAAATGTAAGTTATTGAGAGGACTTTGCAATAGACAAATTCGACAGCGGAAGCGAAATAAATACTACTGATAACAATAATCCTACTACAACTACTGCTACTACTACTACTACTACTACTACTACTGCTAGTACTACTACTTATAATATTAATAATGATAATAGTAATAATAATTGAAATATTAATTGTTCATGAACAATTGAGAGGTCTTTCTTTTTCGGATCGTAAAATATACTACAAACAAATTTAATTTCACGGATACTTTATTTAGCGTTTAGCCGTTTCTATTCGATTTATTTTCGCGATGTCGTAATTTCATCGATGTATCAATATAAAAGAGGATCTAAGTTTAACATATTCGCTATGATTTATATTCGAGTTTTTTTTTCTACTCGCGAAAGACACGACAATAAATCGCTTGCGAAAATTAGTTGGTCTACAGTATGTTTAAATAGGCGTAAAATGCATTGAAATCTCCACAACACACATAAAACCCTAAAAATAGAGTTAAAAACACAAAATTTGTTATTTGGAAATTGAGTTTGGCCTTAGACCATTGGTCCCCAATTTTACTATAAAAGACCCCATGGGTCTAAGACCTTTGGTTCAAAAGTTAAAGGTAATTTTGTCTTTTCAGAAACTGTTAAATGGGGCTATGCCCCTTACGGAAAAGTCAAATCTCTTCGGTCAAAATGTAAAAAAAAATGCGTCTTAATGACCAAAACATTTTTCACTATTTACGTCTTCTGTAAGTATAATGGTTTTTGAGATATCCTATAAAAAGTTGTAGGTTCAAAGGTCAAGGTCAACATGTGACCATTGGGGCATTTTCAAAGTCACATGAATTGATGATTATGTAAGAAGATCCTAGGTGGCTACGACTTACGGTTTCTGAATTTAAGTGGCCAACCGACATCGGTTAATTTTCAAAGGGGCATAACCCTACTAATGATTCGTTGAATCTTTTGGATCCAAATGTAACGAAGAACCACTGTCTGGTCCTGAACAAATCGCACTCTTTGGTTTCTTTCTACCTATTACGGTTACGGTGCTTGAATAATAACAAGCTTTTTAAGTTTTGGGCAGATATCGCCGGACCGACAAAATTTTACCTGTCACAGGGTGAGTTCCATATAGGTATTTGTGGCACCGTTACGAAGTACGGATCGGAAAGCGACATGTCCTTCGTTGAAGGCTGCTTACTTCGTCAAAGCTTGGCGGTAAAATAAAAATAATAATAATTAAGGTTTTTTCTGTTTCGTAATGTAAAATATATGTTTAAATAGGCGTAGAATTTATTGGAAAGCTCAAAAACACACATAAAATCCTTAAAATGGTGTGAAAATCACAGAATCAGCTAATTGGGACTTGACCTTGGCCTTTGACCTTGTGACTTTTGTCAAGGTCATTTTTTTCGTATGTAACTGCAAAAGACCTCATGGGTTAAGGACCTTTAATTCAAAAGTAAAAGCTAGTTAACTCGGTTATGCCCGTTATGGATAGGTCAAATCCCTTCGGTAAACCCTTTATGGATAGGTCAAATCTCTTCGGTCATAATCTAAAAAAAAGTTGCGTCTTTATGACACAAAATTTTTTTCACTTTTCGAAATTTCTGTAAGTATAATGTCTTTGAGATATCCCATAAAAAGTTGTAAGGTCAAAGGTCAAGATCAACCATAAAACTTTAAAACACACCAAAAATCCTTTTAAAAAAGTCAAAAACACATAATTCGGTATTTGGGACATGACATTGACCTTTGACCTTTGATCTTTGACCTTGTGACCGTTGTCAAGGTCAATGATCCCTGATGTCCTTGCAAAAGTCCCCATACTACCTTTGGTTTAATAGTAAAAGCTAATTTTGCCTTTTCAGAAATCTTTAACGGGGGTTATGCCCCTTACAGAAAGGCCAAATCTCTTCGGTCAAAATGTAACAATGTAGCGACTTAATGACCCAATCATATCCCACTATTCAAAACTTCTGTAAATATAATGGTTTCTAAGGTTATCCTATAACAAGGTGTTAGGTTAAAGATCAAAGTCAAAATACAAATCAAAAAAAGGTTTCGGGCAGATAACATCGGACCGACAAAATTTTACAACTCACAGGGATGAATTCTGGATAGGTATTTGTGACACCAATACAAAGTGTGAACCTGAAAGCGACATGTCTTACAGTTAAGGCTAGTAACTTCGTCAAAGTTTGGCGGGAAAAGATTGATAGTTCTGGTAAATTGTACATGAAAAAAAATCAAAAAATGGCTACGTCTGGTGTACAAAAGGTAACATCCGGTTGACTTTCTTCAAGGTCATATTTTTGTAACCAAATGTAAAAGACCTTCTGACTTTATCTTGAACCAATAATAAGTAAGAGCAAATGTCAAAATCTATAACGTGAAATTAAACTTTGACCTTTACCCCAATTTCAAGGTCATTAAACAAGGACCTAAAATCAAATAACCCTAGGTCTCTACTATATATGGTAAATAATTTATATTACCATACGGCTAATGTAAAATATAAGAATGGAGAAAACTCCCATTAAATGTCAACGTAACCTTTCAACTATAATGTATGTATTACATGTTGTAACTAACCATTCTGTAAAAATATTTTGTCGATATCTTATACGATTTTTGAAAATGAGTAATAACAAGCCAAAATCAAAATTTTTAACATGACCTTGACCTTTGACCTTGACCCCATTTTTATTTTTATAGACCAAGGACCTCAAATCAAAAGACCGTAAAGCTAATTTTGTCTTTTCGGAACCCGTTAACAGTGGTTATGCCCCTAACAGAAAGGTCAAATATCTCTACGGTTAAAATGTAACAAAGAAGCGCCTTAATGATCCAAAGATTAACCACTATTCAGGACTTCTCTTAATATAAGGGTTTCTGAGATTATCCCATAACAAGGTGTAAGGTCAAAGGTCAAGGTCAAAATACAAATTTGACATTTTCAAAGTCACATGAATTGATGTTTATTGGTGAAGATCATAGGTTGCTACGACGGTTTCTGAGTTTAAGTGGCCAACCAACATCGATTAATTTTCAATGGGGCGTAACCCTACCGATAAGTCGTTGAATCTTTTGGGTCCAAATGTAAAGAAGAATCAGGGTCTGGTCCAGAACAAATTCTACCCCTTAGTTTTTCCTACCTATTACGGTTACGGTGTATGAATGAAAACAAGGTTTTTAGGTTTTAGGACAGATAAATCCGGACTGACAGGGTAAGTTCCGATTAGGTATTCGTAACAACCATACGAAGTGTGAACCTGAAGGCGACATGTCCTACGGTAAAGGCTGCTAACTTCGTCAAAGTTCGGTTGAATGATAGAAATGATAATAAAAACACAATTCTTCAGAGAACAATTGAAGGTGTTTTCACCCCAAATAGACTTATCTAGACAGGACAATATCAAATTTTAGTTTAAAAAATATTCTAGTGTCAGATAATAGCTTAATTTATGATCATTCGGAAAATATACGGTTTTATATACTTTTTGCTTAAAATAAGGGAGATAAGTAGGTACTTCCTGTTTACAAACAGCTTAACTCCAGATAAATTTTAACCTAATTTCACACTGATTCCAAAGATACCAAGATCTCATAAATTGTACATGAGACTAATGCAAAAATGGCTACTTCCGGTTTACAAAAGGTCACATTCGGTCATATATCTGTTACCAAATAAATAAGACCCTCTGACTTTATCTTAAACCAATAATAAGTAAGAGCAAATGTCAAAATATGCTAGAACGTCAAATCAAGCTATGCTCTTGACCTCAATTACAAGGTCACTAAACAAAGACCTTAAATGAAAAGACCCTAGGACTCTACTGTATATGGTAAATGAGTTATATCACCACTCGGCTAATTTGAAATATAAGAGAGGAGAAAACTCCCTTTAAATGTCAACGTAACCTTTCAATCAAAATGTATGTGTAACGAATTGTCGCAACAAACAATTTTGTAAAAATATATATATATGATACGAAAATCCAAATTTTGAACATAACCATGACCTATGACCTTGATCTCATTTTCTTTTATATGGACCAAGGACCTAAACCCTAGGACTCAATCACTTATGGTTTGCCAGTTACAAATATATTTTTCACTAATATCAAATACAGAAGAGGAAATTACTCTCATATGGAATCTCTATACCACTTCGGTGAAAACTAAACGAAACATCCTGAGGATATAACGAGCAATTTGGAAAGATAAGTATGTCGGTTTCTTCTTCGGTTGCGAAGTATAAGAAATAACAAGAAAAACAGTGTTCGGATAGATAACTCTTGCATGGAAAAGTTTTAGTTAAGCGGTGCCAATTTCAAAAGCGTATAAACTGTTCGATATCATATACAAAATATCTAAGCGACATTATGTGAAACAGCCAAACAGCAAAGTAAAAAAAAAATAGACGAAAAAAATTTATAAAATAATCAGAACAATGAACAATGTCATTATGTCTTTCCACGGAAAAGTGGAAAAACCTAATAATAATAATAATAATAATAATAATAATAATAATAATAATAATAATAAAAATAATTAAAATGTCAATTTTTCGTGAACAATTGAGAGGGATTTTTTTTTGTAATGTAAAGTATGTTAAGATAGGCGTTACATGCATTGAATTCTCTGAAACACATAAAACCCTTAAAATAGTGTCAAAAACATAAAATTAGTTATTTGGGACTTGAACTTGACCTTTGATCTTGTGACATTGGTCCCCAATGTCAGTGCACAAAACTCCATGGTTCTAGGACATTTAATTCAAGAGTTAAAGCTTATTTTGATTTTTTTTTTAAGTAACCGTTAATTGGAGTTATGCTCCTTACGGCAAAGTCAAATCTCTTTGGTCGAATGTAAAAAAGTTGCGCCTCAATGACCCAAACATTTTTCACTATTCACTATTTCTGTAAGTATGGT